AACAAGTTGACTCCAGCTTGACAGCACATAACTGTGTGAATCTCTAAATGTACAAAGGACATCTGTAATGTTGTTGCCCATGGTTTTCCCTGCATGTTGTGTCAGCAGATTAATTGAACCCCATCTACTGAATCTTAGTGTGTCCATTTCACATACAATAACTAAGGCAGAAACATGGGATAGTTATCCAGAAGTATGTGCCAAATTACACTGCATTATCTTAACCATAGATAACTATAGAGCGGCCGGCAGGGCTTGTCTCTTGAGCACCCTCTTTACAGAAGCATTAAAATTCATCCTCTTCACCTCTAATAAGCCACCTTTGATAAACCTAATATGAGCTTGGTATTATTAGGTGCACATGGGTGTTGCACATCTTACACTGAGAAGTTTGGTGTTGATTTAGTAAGGCATAAAATTAAGCTGTACATTTTATAATATAAATATATGTCAGTAGAAAAAGGCCTGGGATCTAGAAGTCACACAACTTCAGTTTCCATAATCCTGTTTGATACCTGCTGAACCAAGACAGAGGACTCGATCAAAATGGGCATTTTTCCTGCTGTTTGGTGCACTGTGGGGGGAATGGGTTGCTCTTTTTTTCTGATAACCAGATAATGTAATTGCTAGAGTAAACCAATCTGTCACCAGAGTGTCCCGCTGTACCTTTCTGAGCCCGACAGGGGCTTCTACTATTGGGGTGTGGGTAGATTCACCTTAGTTTGGTCTGCTTCTAGCAAATTGCGATTGACATGAATGGAGCAAGAAGTGAGCCTTAAGCTGTCAAGGCTCCTTCCACTGCTAAGTTCTGGTATCATGAAGTGGAAGCAACAACAGCTCCAAATGATCAGGAAGCAACAACAGCAGCTGCAGTGCACCAGAGTTAAATAGCGTCAGGACGGAGCTGTCGAAATGGAAACACACTTAAGCTCAGTAGCTGCACCTTTCATTTGCCATTTAAACACTATTCCAGGGCTTGAGAAAATTATTGGGTTTTTTTTTTTTACTATAACTCTCAGAATACCCATCCGTGGCACTGTGGGCTAAACCGCAGAAGCCTGTGCTGCAGGGTCAGAAGACCAAGCAGTCGTAAGATCGAATCCACGCGACGGAGTGAGCGTCCCAGCTCCCGCCAGCCTAGCAGTTCGAAAGCATGCAAATACAAGTAGATCAATAGGGACCCCCTCGGTGGGAAGGTAACAGCGTTCCGTGTCTAAGTCGCACTGGCCATGTGACCACGGAAGATTATCTTCGGACAAACGCTGGCTCTATGGCTTGGAAACGGGGATGAGCACTGCCCCCTAGAGTCGAACACGACTGGACAAAAATTGTCAAGGAGAACCTTTACCTTTACAGTCTCTATACCCATGATGGCTTGGAGATTCTGGAAGTCATAGTAATATCTAAAAAAGTCTAAAAAAGTAATATCTCAAGCTGTGTCAAACTCCTATAACTATCCTATATATTTTCTATTTCTCTCTCTCCAAAATCATGCATGTTGGTTTCAAGCTCTTCTTCAGCTAGCCGTTTGGAATTTATGGCCCATCTCTTAAAACAGAGGACAGTCTCGGGCAATCTGCAGGCCTCCTCCGTCTCCATTTCAGCCCCTGTTGCTAGCTTCAATCCAAGATCAGATCTGTTAAACTGATTGTTGAAAGGCAAGTCATCATCATGAATGAGCATCCCATTGAGACAATAGGTCTATTCCAATTGTCACTGGCAATAGGACCCTGGCCATCACATCCTATTCAACTCAATAGTATTGCTTTTTGATCTGTAAGTGTTACTGTTTGCCAGCTGCTTAAATTTTCCCTGCCCAGAGGACTTTGCCTTTGAAAAGTCATGACTGGGAATTTTTATAGCAGGATGTGATGCCTCCCTGGTATTTCTATTTGGCTTCCCATCCCAGTGCTTTCTAGCGATGACAGAAGAATTGGGACATTAGCTCTTGGTCAGACACAGGACAACCTGTCAGCTTCAAGAGGTTTTTATATTAGGCTATTCCCACTGCAGAGAGTAGTCAGAACTCATTCATGTTGCAAACAGAATGTCAATACATGGCTGGGCCTGATGATACATGAGCTGCAGGAATGCATTGCATTAAGTGCATCTGTCTCCTGGAGAGTTATTCTTTCCTTCAGTACAAGAGGCAACTATACTTCATTTCAGAGTGATTTATTATAGACTGCTCACGGTAACTGATGGATCTGAGGCTGGTGACGTACTTCATCCTGCCACTTGGTGGGGGGAGTTGCTCCACTGCTCCCCACCATGGGTTGCCCTTGCTCACAAGGAGGCACTGTGTAGCATAAGGTGGTCTCTACCACATTTTTTTTCAGGGGGAAAAAAACTATCGGTAGCACTGCTACATAAATTCAGGACCAACTTTTCTCATGTAATTTTACTCAGAAATCTCCTATCGGGTTCTCAGCTTCCCTTTCTCTGTCACTGCTTCCCTTCAGGCTGGCACTAAAAGCCATTTTTTCTGTTAGGCAAGTGCCTGAGAAAAAGGCAGCTGCTTTGCACCTCAGGTAGCCACAAATCCAGACATTCTGGGTATCCCATTTACCCCATTTCAGGTCATGCAGTGGATTTAGCCCAGTCTGAGGGTATCACTGCACTCAGATTACCTTACAGATAAATAAGCCCAGCTTCAGAGTTTGGGGGAAGTCCATCAGGGCAGGATGCAGAGTAGAGTCAGGGTTCTCAGAGTTGGAAGGCTGGCACATTTTAATTAGCAAGGCAGTTAGATCATCTACTATCAGCAGGGGCTTCTCCGTCCACTCTAAGCATTCCTATAGCCTGCACTACAACAACAATAATGTGCCATCAAACCAATTCTGACTCAGGGTTTTCCAGATACGGAATACTCGACAGTGGTTTACTCTTCCCTTCTTCTGGGAGGGCCCTTGGGCTGTGCGGCTTGCCCCCAAGGCCACACAGGCGGACTCTACTCACTGGAGACACAGTGCAGAATTGAATGCCCAACCTTTGGCTCTGCAGCCAGACACCTAAACCAACTAGCCTTCACAATACCAGAGAGAAAATAGACCATCCCAGGAAAAACATATTGTGATCTATGCAACAAAGCATTTTGGGATGGCCTGGCATAGAATGGGTAATTAAAACCCAAAAGCTTTGCTGAAAATGTGCTCCGGGGGAAGGTGAAAACCGTTAGAGCTAAATTTTTGCAAATGCCAACTACAGCTTCTTGCATTTTTTGGGGGGATTCTGCTTGAGGATTTTGTCCTCCACGGGTTTTCATGAGAAATACCTGAACATTATCATTTACCACTATCGCAGAGGTCTGAATTTTGGTCAGATTCCTCTAGCTGTGCAGGGATTCATACAGCAGACTTAGCTTCAAGTTCCTCAGTTTAGTCCACCCCTTTTAACTCACCAACTGGCACTTACAGTCTAAATATAGTAACTCCCTCTGAGACATTAGGGTAGGAAGAATGCAATGTGTTTCATTTACTTTCAATTGAAGAGATCAAACAGCAAACTAAGAACAAACATGACTCCTTGCAACAACAGGCCTCAACAGACTCACTGACTTCAACAGACTAACTACTTCTAGCAGACTCAGGAGAGGGAAAGAGATATATACTGAGTAATTCAGAGGTCAGGATTGGGTAGTGCTGCTAGCAGACTCAGGAGAGGGAAAGAGATATACTGTATACTGAGTAAAGAAACAGGCCTCTCTTTGAATTCAGAGGTCAGGACTGGGTAGTGCTGCATAGACTGATAGTCACCCCAGCCCAGGAAGTTTCCTGCAAGCCTCACCTGCTAGAGGTAGGTAGCATGTGAGGTTGCAAAAACTCCAACAACCACTACACTATTGGTGAAAAGGATAACCAACAACAGAGGGTTAAGCTCCAAAAGGCAAGGATAGACATAGCAAGTGTTCAGAGCCAGGATGGGCAGCACAAAAGAAATGTCAGACGCAAAATCAGCCAAAATTACAGTCAGAGACCAGTTAGCCAAGCAAGGAAAAAAAGAGCACTACACAAAGCTCCAGCTGCAAGTAGACTTGCTGAGCTTGCACATTGCTTTGACAACTGGTCTAGTCATACAAAGAACTCCGGCTTCTGAGATGCCATTATTTCTTTCTTTAAAATATTTATACCCCAAGTCAGCTTACATTAAAACAAACAATATTAAAAGCTTAAGAAAACCCCAATAAAATATTGCAAAATTAAACAAGAATTAAATAGATATCAAATTAAAAACTAACAGTTTAAAACTATTCTATCCTATTTAAAAGAAACTGAGCACTGCAATTTTTACTCTCCAGTGATTGTGGGAGTTGTAGCCTGACTTGTCTATGCTCTTTAAAGCTGGGATTCCTAACCCCACCCCCACCCCCGGTTCTAAAGCGCCCAGAATAGTGCTTTTGCACTAATAAGGTGGTCTGTTAAATAAGTAAATGCATCCATACATACTTTTCAGCCTGTTATAAACAGGTATCCCACCCAAGCCTGGGATAAAAAGAAGGGCCCTCTCCCAAGCAGGTGGGACAACAAAGAAAACCTCAGAGATCTGGGCATAGACTCCTGTTCAGGCCAGGAATGTTTCACAGCCCTTTCCAGAGGGGCAGCCAGATCGGGACTTTCGCACAAACAGCTCTGCACATAAGCTTCTGGTTCGAGACTCTTCCATGTTTGCTCAGAAGTCAGGCACACTGTTCTCAGCCAAGCTCGCTCCCTATCGGCGTGATCCCCAGAATCTGTTGTTCTTCTTCGTGGCCTCTGTGAATACACACTAATGGGCCAAAAAACGAGGTGGGAGGTGGCCGGTTCATTTTTTAAAAACTACATTTCCCAGCATTCAACGCGAGAGCACCGCCTCCGCTATCCCGCCGAGAGCGCCTCGACGCCCCATCTATAGGCAAAAGGAGCCCCGCGACTTCCCTCTCCCTCTCTTGCCCGCCAAGAACAGGGGAAGCTCCTCCCACTCCTCTCTCCAGGAGAAAGTTGGGCATGACGTCACTCCGCAGCTCGTTCTATCTCCGCCCCTCCGGTTCTGCACCCACCAATCCGGGGCGAATGCTTTCGTAGTGACCTCAGAGTCAGCCAGCAGAAATTGCTTACACACGTTCAGGGCGGAAAGAGGAAATCGTTGGAGTTGCCAGCCGGGAGGAACTACAGCCGCCGCCGCCTGCAGCAGACATGGTGGGTGCCTTGCAAAAGGGTTGGGATGCAAAGTTTAGGAGGGTCCAGGGGAGGCTTAGGGGGTGTGCGTGGCGGGGGTGTTAGTATCCAGCAAGCAAAGGGCTTAAATAGGTAGATTCAGCTCTTTATTAGCAGGACCCCGGTCACCTTGAAGGGCGAGGAGAACCGGTAGCTGGAGGAAGGGGTAATGTGTGAAAAGGGAGGGAATGAGGGGAGGGGGGGATTGCTACGTGAAGGGTCCTCCGTGACACACACACACACCGGTGACTGGTTTTCTTTCTGGTTCTGTTTGCCTTGCAGTGTGACTTCTCAGAAGATCAGACCGCAGGTAGGTGCCTCTCTTCTTGTTACTCGGGAGTCGGGGATTGGGGCCGATGCAGGAGGAAAGAAAAAGACAGGGTGTGGATTGGGGGGGGCTGGAGTGACATGATGGTGCAGGGGGCCTTCACGATTCCTCCTCCCCGTTGCCCGTCTACCCCAATTGTCTGAGGTTTAATCACAGGATTCCGAAATCCGCTTAGAGAGGCTTGTTTGGTCTTACGGTTCTTTTTCCTTCCTTTGATTCCTTTAGCCTTTTTCTCTCTCCCCCCCCCCATCTCTTGATTACAGCTCCTTGCCGGTGAGTTAAGCGCGTATTCTGTGCGTGTGTGATGAAAATTACCTGCGTGTTATTAACCGATTCCTGGCCCCAGCGCTAACGTGTCCCCCCCCCATGCCTCTTAAGTCAGGTGTACGTTTTCGTAGGCGAGGCTGCCTTGCCCTTTGGAGCCGGCTGCACTGATGTTGAGTCTCCCTCCCTCTAAAAAAGTGACCCGGTTGGCCCTTTGGCAGGAGAACTCCTCATCTCTCTCTCCCTCCGCCGCCCAGGCATGGCTCACGCACGATGGCATTTCCTGGTTCAAACTGCCTGCAAGGATCCCCACCCTGATCTTGTCGGTGGCCTGCATTGTTCGTTTTGCAAGCCAAAACATGATTGGTTGGGTCAAAAAAAAAGAATAGATTCAGAAGGATGCCGGTATGGGTGTGTGATGCTCCCACACGCTTGGAATCGGAGTGGAATCAGTCTCTCATAGTAATGGGGCCTTTCCCAGCTTGGATGTGCAAAAACAGGATGTGATAGAACAGGGGCGGGTGGAAATGGCTGCTTGCCTTTCCCTTCTCGCTCCGCTGCCGGTGCGAACTCCACAGCCCAACAGGATTTGGGGAAATGAGATTTTTCCCACCCACTTGTTGGAGGATCATGAAATAGGCTGAAGGGGATCCTGAGTAGTTAACTTTTTGTTGTTGATGTGAAGGGCTCCCTCCCTGCTTTGGAAGGAAGGGATTTCAAATGAGCAAAGATGGGCGTCTGGGGTTGTGTTCTCTTGGTTTCCTTATATGGGCAAGAAACTCATTTCAGAGCAGGCAGGGCTGAGAGCGGCTGCTGCTGCCGGGTACATTCCTGCCTGGATCCCGGGCGCTGCGGAGCAAACGAGAAATTCCTTGGCCAAGAAGGAGGTCTTGTAACTGAAAGGTCTTGAAGGCGGCAGATGCAACTGTCAGACCCCACAGCTAGTGACAGTGCCAGCCCCTCCTTGAAGCCCTTTTGAAGACTCAAACTCCTGTTAATAGTTGTGCATTGTACACATTATGTTTACAGAGGAGTCCTGGCTATGGTCACCAGTCCCTAAAATTTGCTTCCTCCAAAGAAATAATTTCCATAGGGGCATAGTGGAAGAAATAGAGTCCTGTGGCATCTTAAATATTTAACACTTTTATTATAACATGAGCTTTTAGTGGGCTGTAACCCACTTCAACAAGTGGAGCATTGTCCTAAGGTTCAGGGATATGATGTATAATGTTTTTTACCCACAACAGTCATGGGCTGCATCCAAACCAATAGTCTTTTCTTGCTACTTATTTTATCTTGGTCAGTTGTAACAATCTGTACTTTTTTTAAATTAAATGACTGAAACCTTCTAGCTTTCTGCATTTTATTGGCCTTTATTCATTCTCTTCAATACTACTTTGTTGGTCCCCTGTTCAGTACAAGAATTTCTTAGCATCTGTTGAGAAGTCCACATTTCAAATTCTTCTACCTCTTTTATAATTACCTGTGCAAAATTCAGTGTGATTCTATTTCATACTGTAGAATGAAGAATGCATAGAACCACAGAATGCCTATTCTTAAAGCAGAATATAAGTCTTTGTTGCATATTCCATTCTCAAGGAATTTGCTCTGGGCTGTCTCTCTTCTGGGTTGTATTATGTGGCTACACTTCCACTGTTCATTGACCCAAATTCTGAAGTACATTTGATGCAACATGTTCCACCCTTTGATTTTAGAACTTTAATTGCATGTCTTGATTTGATTGCATCTCACTGATTACTATGAATTTGGTTTTCTTAACATTAATATTTAGACTGTATTCATACATAATTGGCTGATTTTACTGTGTAATCTTTTGAGGTCCTTTTATACTTTAAGATGCTCCTGGGTTTCTTGTTTCTTTCCCCAGAGGTGATGGTTTGTTATTTATCCAAAGGTTATGCTGCATGACTGCACGTTTTGTGCATAAATACCTCGGGGGTGCTGTTTTCAAAAGCATCTAAAATTTACCCTTTAGATTTAATCTCATTTATAATAGAATATTTTTGCATGCTTGTTTTAATTGATGAGGAGTGGTGAAATGGTAACAAAGCTGTCTTTTGGGACATCCTGAGGAAAGGGTGAGAAGCATCTCAAAGTATTTATTAGTATGACCTGTGTGGTGATGGGCAAAACTGCAGACTCATCTTGTCATTGCCTTTTTTGGATGAGGGGACGGGAGGAGAATTAACTGGCAGGTTTAGCATTTTATTACAGAGGTGGGGAATCTGGTCCACCAGATGTTTTTCAACTCCAATGTCTTGTAGCCCCAGCCAATTTAGGCAGTGGGGCGAGCATGATAGGAATAATTGCTAATCAATATCCAGAATGCATTCCTATTCTTATGGATGAATTGTACAAATTGTATAAGTTAAGCTGTAGCTTGGTGGTAGGTGTCTGCAAGTAGAATTGATGAGTTTAGTTGCTGGTGTTAGCATTCAGTGAATCATCTCAGGCTAGAAGTCCTCAGGAGCACCATTTGCCTGAATCCCCGGAGAGTGGTTGTTGGCTCGCCCGGATGGACTGATAGCCTGGTTTAGCTTTTCTTTCCTAGTTCATGCCAGAAGCACCACAGTACAATTAATAAAGATAACAGATAACTTTCACTGAGTAACATCAAGGAAGTCTGGGACAGCTAGCATGCAGGCTTCGATAGTACATAGAAAACACCAATGCAACGTAGAAAGCACCAATGCAAATGTGAAGTTTCCTGTTCTTCACACTTGCAAAGAATGGGTGCAAAAGGCCCATTTTCCTAGGCTCATTATGGATCTGCCAATTCAATCCATACTTGAATGAAAAGCAGGGTGAATTTGATTTAAATCATTGTTTATATTTTTTTTAAATCTGATTTTTTGGCAATTTAAATTAAAAACATTATTTCTAAATTTAAATTGTGATTTAAAACAGTTTGATTTTTAAAAAAATGATCCACAGTGATTAAAGGTAGAGGCCAGTCAGTGAAGTCATTGTGAGCTAATTAGGCTTCTGTTTTCTCTTCTCTGCCCTGTGAAAGAACAATAGGTGGTTAGTCATTTGATTTGTTAATTGTATTTTTACTGTGAGGAAGTGTAGGATTTTCTGCCTCAAGGGCCACGGCAGCTATGCTGGCTGTGGGCACTCTCCACTCTTCTTTTGGGTAAGTAGAGGTTGCTGTTTGCTGCCCCTGCCTCAGGCAGTAAAATATCTTAGGCTGCTGGAATTGTAGTGTGTATGTGTGACCTCAGTGTTTTGCCAGCCTTTAAAAGGCAAGGATGAGCGGATGTCCCCTGCCAGGTGGGCAGCTTTACAGAAATTAACACGTGAGTATCTCTAGCTGAATTGCAGAGCAACTGGCTGTTACAGAATTTGTGGCCGGATGAACCCATCATTGAATTCTGGGAAGGAGCTAATCTCCAAAATGGATGTTCGCTCCACCATGCTGTGATGGGCAAGCGTATTGCTCAGCAGTGTATGGAACATCTCCAGAGCTAATTCTTAATCATGCTTCTTGTACTGCTGCACTTATAGGTGCTTGAGTTAGGCAGGTGGTGCCTGTTCATAAAAATTACCCTTTTTGATTTCCAACTTCCCGAATTCCTAGCCAGCAAGGGCCAGGGGTCTGCTTGCTGCCTATTAGGATAGTTATAGTCCAAAGGAAAAGTGGGGGGAACCCAAGCTCTGCTTAAAACCTTCTGTTACTGCTTCACTTTCCTCTACCTGTAGGCCAACACTCCCCAGGCTTGGGGGCTCATGGTAGCAAATGCTGTTATTTATTTTCCACTAAGGGAGAGGAAAAACCAACCACTGGGGCCACACAGACATGTCCCCGTTTGCCTGAGGGCAAGTTCTGTTTTGAGCCACTGGAGTTTTCATTTGGAAGACCTGAAGTCACAAGTGTGTCACTGTTTAAGAATATCTTATGTGAGACTGTGGCAGACAGCAATTTGAAGAAGCCATGCCGGTTGGTTGGTTTTTTAAGATGGGTGAACAATAGCTATTTCTGATCAATGGAAATGCCAGCTGGGCAAACCCTGTCTGTCAACGTCTCGGCTGCTCCATGAGGGGCCTCAGGCTGGCCTGAGACTCTTTTTGCGCCCTGTGCCGAAAGACAAAACAGGGTCCCTTCACTCCATATTAGCTCTTGGATTTTAGCTCAGCAGCGTCACTGAGGTGGGGGGGGCTCCCTCCTACTTGAAGGCAGCTGCCTTGTTTCTTGGGTGCAGGACAGGCTGGGAGGCACAGGGCAGCTTTCTTCTCCAAAAGAGGGCATGGCTGGGGAAGAAGAACCCAGGAAGGCACGGCTGGGAAGAGCTGCCCTTCCTGTCAAACCATATTTGCTGCCTCAGTTGGCTGTGGGCTTTTTTGGCTTTTTTTGCTTGTTTTGTTTGTTTCTGCCTTCCCTAATGGGAGGGCTGATCTTGCTGCTGGAAGGAGGAAATGCAGGTCCACACCCATGATGTGTCCAGGTAGGAAAAAAACCTGATAAAATACTCTAATTATGTGAAACATAATCTCAAGAGGGACTGGGGTTCCTCTCTCATTATCCAAGGTGACAGAAAAAATCAAAGTAAGCATGGTAAGGCAGAGGTTTCTCTGAGGCGTATTTTTCCAGAATTCAAACGATTATCCTTATTTCAGATCTGACAAAAGAAGTTGTAGCCTATGTGAAAATGTGTGTTGGTAAAGTGAAATGCGGTTAAAGTGCTACCAAAACAGAGTATCCTGTATCTTTCTCTTCCCCTTCTTAAGACACGGAGCCATTCTCTAATGTCTCTTGGATAAGCTGGACTTTCTGTCTATATAGATCTGATTACAGATCCTTTTTCTTCAGTGTCTAGCTGAAACCAGACACTGAAAATTAAGTATCAGAAACTAGATCCTGCTTAGAGAAGAGACAGGTTGTTTCATAGCAGCTGGAATATTGTCTGACAATAAGAGCAGGCTAGATACCAACATACAGGATAGAAAGAGTTTGTGGAGGAAGAGGCTGTTGGTTCCAAGTACCCCTTTCTAGTCCTACTACAGTTTGTTGTGGAAACTGGCAATTGATTAACCTCTCCTCTTCTTGTACAGTGATGAACATAATGAAGCCTTGGGTGAACCCATTGGGGGGGATGGGGGAGATAGGGGTGCCTTCAAAAATTTCCTCATGTGGGACAGAGGCTATACAGTGGTGCCTCGCTTAGTGATCGCTCCGTTGAGCGATGAAATTGCTTTGCAATGGACTTTTGGCCATCGCTGGAGCGATCGCTTAGTGATGTCCCCTATGGCTAAAATTCGCTTTGCGATGATCGCGGGGAAGCCATCATGGCAAAGAACTTTTTTAAACAGCTGATTGGTGGTTCCAAAATGGCTCCCGCAAAAACAAAATGGCCGCCGCAAAAAAAAAATGGACGCTGCTGTTTTGCCTCACTTTAGAGGCACCCAGAATGGCCGCTGCTATGGAGGAATTTCGGTTTAAGGTAAGTTTTTAGCCCATAGGAACATATTAAGCGCGTTTTAATACGTTCCTATGGGCTTTTTAATATCGCTTAGCGATTAAATCACTTAGCGATGTTTTTTCTGGAATGGATTAACATCGCTAAGTGAGGCACCACTGTAATAGGTGCCTTTAATTTTGCCGGTAGGACTTCTGTTGTGTTCATTCATGTCTCTGCCACTGTTGCCTCAACAAATCTACTTCTTCACTTTCTCCCTCTCTGAAAAAGGCTGCTCTGTTGTAGTGGTTCTCATGTTGGACTAGTAATATGGAGAACAGGTTCAATTCTCAGTCGCCCATGAAACTCCCTGGGTGTCACTAGGCCAGTAGTTCCTGACCTAATCTACTTTGTTGTTAGAAGTGTGGGTAGGTGAAGGGTGGAATTCCAAAATAGTTTACAGTAGGAGCTACTCAGACCTAATCCCCTTTTGTGCCTTCTCTCTCCAGGTTCAGGCTTTGGAGGTCTTGGACCTTCAGCTTGTGAGATAGTTGAACGATTGTGTCGAAACCTGAGAATTTAATTTTTCCAGACTTTTTCTGATATGGGTTGTCCCTCCAAGTCCCACTACATGGATATATGTAGCTTAAACATATAGCTAGCTCAGTGGATATGTGACAGAGGAGCCAGAGGGTTGGGAGTTCAGTTCCTCTGTGGGCCTCCTGGAAGAAGAGACAGCCTTTATGGCGCCAAAGTTTCCCCCAGAGGAAGGGAATGATAAACCAATTCTGAGTAGTCTCTACCTAGGAAACCCTGCAAAGAGTCACCAGAAGTTAGAACTGATTTGACGGCACACAATTGTTATTTAAAACAGAACTTGATAGCAATAAAAGGCAGCTGTGGAGTGAAAGATGCAAGAGGACTCCATCATTTTTGTGTTTGCTTGGTAGTCCACTTTCCAGGGTGTCCCAGAGCTAGGTTAGGTAGATGATGGACAGGTGGATCACTAGCTCACTTGCAAAGAGTCATCTTGCAGAGGCTGATTGCACAGACTGGACTTGATCTAATCTAGCAAAGTACTTGTGTTCTTAGCAGGATAGTTTATGGGCCACCCACCTAATATTTGCTAGGATACTCATGCTCAAGTTACCAGCCACCTATGGTTTGCAAGCAGGTTTGCCTGTCTGGATCAATGCAGAATAGTTAATACTTTCATCATTGTTTTATTTTTATTTTTACATTTCCATGTCGCTCTTCCTCCGAGAAGCATGGTACAGATCATTGGTTCCTAACCTTGGATAATCCTGGTGTTCTTGGAGTGCAGTTCCTGGAAGTTTTCACTTCCAGCTGTGCTGCCTAGGATTTCTGGGAGTTGCAGTCCGAGAACACCTGGGTTGCCCAATGTTGGGAACCACTGGTATAGGTGATTTTCACCCTTCCGCCCTTTTATTTTTTGCAGCTGCGTTGGGGGGTGGGCCAAGCTGAGAAAGAAATATGGGTCCATAATCATGCCCCACCCCGTTCACCACGAACTTCATGACTAAGTGGGGATGTGAATCTTGTTCTTGGTCTGACATTTAAACTATCCTGGCTGTTAAGTAAAGAGATCTGAACGTGTGCCTTGTAAACTTGATGGATCCTCCAGTGCATGAAATTGGACCCTGCTGTGCGATGGATGAGTGTTTGGTGCACTTGCTTGGAAATAGGTCAGTGAGTCAGAGAGGGCTTGAACATGTCTGGGAAGCAGGAAGGAGTCCCCATAAATCTAGAGAAATCTAGAAATCCACTCCTGAAGATAAGATACAATTCCTTGTAGATTAAAAGTGCAACTGTGTGTGGCTGGTTGAGATGCTGCCCTCTCTACCTGCCTTTGCTAAGGGTGCTTCCATGGCTTTCTGTCTTTACCTCTTTGCTGTTACCCTCCGCAGAGTTCAAGGAGGCTTTCCAGCTTTTTGACAGAACTGGAGATGGTAAGATCCTGTATAGCCAGTGCGGGGATGTGATGAGAGCCCTGGGCCAGAATCCCACCAATGCAGAAGTCATGAAAGTTCTGGGGAACCCCAAGAGCGATGGTGAGTCTCTCGTCCCCTTTTTTTCCTCTTGCTTACAACTGCCGTTGGGAGAAGGAGAAGGGAGGATAGGAGTGGTGTGTTTCTCCTGTATCCTAGGAGTTCTGGTCCCAATGAAGGACAACAGAGTTTTGCCCAGTTGTTGTAGATGTCATAGCTGCGTGGTGCAGAGTGGGTCAGATCCTGGCTTGGTTTTCTGTGGATAAAAGTCTGCACATGGAAGATGCTGCTGCTTGATTTTTTTTTCAGGGAGTGCTTTCTCTCTACTGCACCCCATTCTGCCAGGTCTTCCAAAAGTTATTTTGCAGAATTAAGGTGTGGAAGGGAATGGCGGATCCGCTGTGAGAAGGAGCCCTGTGTCACCTTCGGCCAGCCCAGTTGTACACATATGCAACAGGATTCAGCCTGTTGGGTGGCAAACACAGCTGTGTGGCCAGCCTCTCAGCTCTCCCAGAAAACTCTTTTCCATGTATATAAAGATTGAACATCAGAGAACAAAACCCTGTTCGTTCTCCAAAGCCAAAGATGGATGCTGAACAAGACTCACTTTGTGTGAGACATGGGTGTCCTTGGCAGATTTATGACCCCAAACTGAGCAGAACAATTGCATTTCAGTTTTTGGAGAGTATGGATTACCTTGGCTCAGGATCTGGATGATTAGAGCCAGCCAAAGATGTTTTGCCACCTGAACCAAAGGACAAGATGGTGTCTTTATTCCATATTCTGAAGGGGACGGGACTGACCACTGGATGCTGGCAGTGGGAAAGTATCAAATTGTACTGTATACAGCAGGACACCCTGGGGAGATAAGGCAGACTATTTGCCTGCACAGGTCTGTCCTGCCGACAGGCCAAGGAGAGAAGGAGGAGCCAAGGGGACCTGTGTTGCTGCTCCTCAGCCCCCTACACCTGAGGTGGTGCTTACCCCATGCTGTGCCATCGGAGGCTGGTCCTCCTGATATACACAGGTCCACTTGCCCCACTGTTTTAATTTGAGCTTGGAACTGAGTTTCTGAATTCCAATGGCTAATTTGTTAAGGAAAGGCTCCGTTCCTGAGGGTCGCTTCTTATCTCGGCTTCTGGCACCTGCATAATGGCAATGTCAGCCGATAACACCTATTCTTTTCCCCCTCCCTCCCGCTCTGCGCTCTTTCCCAGAAATGAATGTGAAGACGCTGAGCTTTGAACAGTTCCTGCCCATGATGCAAACCATTGCTAAGAACAAGGACCAGGGATGCTTTGAGGACTACGTGGAAGGGCTGAGGGTCTTTGACAAAGAAGGCAACGGCACCGTCATGGGAGCGGAGATACGCCACGTCCTGGTCACCTTAGGTACAGCCGCGCTACTGCTCACATTTGCACGTATTCCTGATGGTTTCAAGTGTACTCTGACGCTAAAGAGGAGGGAGGTGGCCTGCAGCTCTTCCCGGAGTAGAGTTCTAATTGCTCTGCCCTCATCGATCCCTAGGTATTGTTCTCCTTGCAAAGCCTAATATGAAATAGCAGAATTCTTGCAGCCCTAATTCTGTGCATGGCTGCTTGCAAGTTCCTTGGGCCTCGGTGTTAATTCTTTGCTAGGGAGTGTTTATAGGGTGGCAGTTTCAAAGTCTCTCCCTTTGATGAAAGAGGAGTGAACAGTCCTTGGTCCAGGGGTGGCCTTGATCCAGTGGTGGATCTGGTCTATCTCTTGGGAGGAAGGCCCTGGGGAGCTCTCTCCTTTAAGAGAGAGGGTATCTTCTTAAAAATGAATCTTCCTTCCATTTTTAATCACTGCGCCCTATGAACTGAGTTTCCAAAGGTCTTTCTCATCCTGGGAGATCCTTTTGAAATTCTGAGCACAAGGGGGCCGGGTTGTTTGAATGTTGACAGTTTTCAGGGGGACAGGGGCTCCCATCGGACAGGCTGTTCCCATCTCAGTGCACAGGTGGTTTTCACCACGAGGCTGCCATGTAGGGCTGCTCCTTCACTCACTCTAGTGCTGCTTATGCGGATAAGAGAAGCTGTACCTGAATGACTGAACTTGCATGGCGCTCCTAGACTCCATGGTTTGTCAAACCGTTCTACCTTAATTTCCCTCCACTTCCTAAGTACCCTTTTGTGAACCTTTAAATCACACTGCTTGGTTTGGCAACTGTCCATAACTTCTCCTGCCTCTTCTGAGCCCAGAGAGCCTAACAGAGATGGCTGCTTGAATACTGCAAACAACCAAGTCTTTCCCCCAGTGCTCGGCCAGGTAGCAGAGGGAAGTGGGTGGTGTTCGGTTCATAAGCTACCCCAGGAGTGGCTGAGAGCTAGGGGTTTGCTCGCCCTGGGTTTTAAATTTGTGCTTTGTACATGGATATCCCCACTGATTTGGTTTACTTTTTGGCTTCTGCCTGCTTGAAATGTGGCCTGGTCCTCTGAGGTGGCCTTGTAAAATGTACCGCTGGTTCCCGCAGGTGAGAAAATGACGGAGGAAGAAGTGGAGATGCTTGTGGCCGGCCATGAAGACAGCAATGGCTGCATTAACTACGAAGGTGAGCCACCGGGGAGGTGGGTCAGCTCTTGCTTGCCTCAAGGAACCTGCCCTTTCCATGCTTCCCCACATCCCCCACCCCCTTTTTCCCATGCTAGAGCCAAAATGGGCAAAGTGTGGCCTTTGAGGTGGTGTGGAACTTCAGCTCCCATCATCCCCTGCTAGCGTAGCCTGTGATGAGGAAGAGTGGAGTTGCAGTCTGAGAGCCTCCGAAGGGCTGTGCTTTGCCTACCCCTCTCCCCCCCCCCCATGTGAGGTACAGCAAGGAAAGCCCTAATCTTGGAATAGTCAGCAGTGACCTCCATGAACATCTTGTGTTTTCTGCTAAGAGGAATTTTATGCCTCTTGCTCCGAGGCCGAATGAAAAGAGCCGCCTGGGTTCCTGCCTCTGAACTACCTGGAACTACATGGAAAACCATGAGGCTTAAGATGCCTCACTCACCTCTCTGACCGTAGGTGGTCTTGCCATCGCAGAGGTTGGCGGGGGCTGGAGTGGCTGTGAGGGGGATCCAGCCCTTGGGCAGGCCCTGCTCTCCCTGAATTCTCCTTTAGCGAGAGATCCTTGTGGTTAATTTACTTACGCCCGCCTCCTGTCTGGGGGACTGGAGCCTCTGGCCCCAGAAGCTCCCTGCGAGTGAGGGCTATAGCGCCATACTGTGTGTGAAGAAGTGTGACAAAGATGGCAAAGACATCCTAGTAACATCTGGTAATATTTGTGAGTGTCAAGCGAGCTTTGTTTGTGAGTTAATGTTCCATGTGTCTGCTTTTGTTTGTTCATTGGCTTGATCATTTTTGATGTTTCTTCCTTTCTACAGCATTTGTGAGACACATCTTATCAGGGTGAATTCAAATGGGGTACGCCTCCTCCAAACCTACCTCTCTCTTTTTTTTAACAGCCTCCTTTTTTTGTTGACCTAAAAAAAGGAAGATTTTTTTTATTGTTTGCGCTCTCTTTTCCCCTCTTCCATTTCTCATTCAGCATCTTCCTTCCATGTCCAACCCGCGCCCCCCCCGCCCAGAAATCTTCCAGCATGTCTGTGCATGTAGCTGACTCTCTTATGTATTTGAAGCAAGGGTGGCTGGGGAAATGAGGCAGCTCTGGTTAAAGCAAGACTGTGCGTGTGTAACCTTGCAGTGCTTGAAGGGAGGGATGTTGGTGGCAGTATGAGGGGAACCCAGCTTCTGTGTCTTTCACCTTGAGAGGGCCAAGACCCCCAGTCTGTGTGTTTCACTAGTCTCATGTTGCAGCAACGACAGACGAAGAAGAAAAAAAAAAACCCATCACTAGTCTCATGTTGCAGCAACGACAGAAGAAGAAGAAAAAAAAACCCAAGGAGAAAATGATTCCTTTATTAGACCACTAGAAAAATTACAAATGTAATCTAGCTTTTAACCCTGTACCGGTCTTTATCCAGGCTGGACACTACGGAGCTGAGGGTAGTGCAGAAGAAGCGTCAGAGTTCTAAAAAATCATGGACAGAAAGATGTGAAAGGCAAAAAAAGGCAAAAGCCATTTTAGGCTGCATTAAGCATAGTCTCTAATCCCGTGAGGTACTAGTTCCCCTCTCTTTGACACTGGTTAGGCCTTATCTAGAGTGGACACGGCACTTTAAGAAGGATGCCAACAAACTGGAACGAGTTCAGAGGGGGACAGTAAGGATGATCAGAGGGCTGGAAGCCATGCCCTGTGCGGAAATACTGAAAGAACTGGGCATATTTAGCTTTGAGAAAATAAGACTGAGGGAAGATACGATAGCACTTTTCAAATAGGCTGCCATACAGAGGAGGGGCAGGATCTGTTCTTGATCATCCCAGAGTGCAGGATATGCAACAGTGAGCTCAAGTTACAGGAGACCAGATTTAAGCTGAATATCATGGAAAAAAATCTTAACTTTTAGAGCAGTACAATAGTGAAACCAATTATCTTATGAGGTTGTGAGTGCTCCAGCACTGAAGACATTCAAGAGAAACGTAGACAACCACCAGGCGGATATCCTTTGATTTGTATTCCTGCATCGAGCAGGAGGTTGGACTTGATGGCCTTATAGGCCCCCTCCAACTTCATTATGCTATGATTCTATGTGGATGCCAGTCCCCTTTGTTTAAAAACGGACTTTCAAAATGGGTCCTATAAATTTAGGCCAGAAGTGCAAATATCAGATTTCAGCTCTGATGATATAGAGTAGAATGTCTCTCCCAATCTCATTAGATGAAGCAGTTGTCAGTCATTCAATATATCCTCCCCTTTCCATGGCCCTGTATTGGCACAGGGTTCCTTTTTGGCTGGGAGGAGAGGCACACATAGTTGTTCCAAACCCAGCCTTAGAAAAGTTGGCACGATGTAAGGATGTGTCTTCAGAACTCCTGTTGGACAGGAGTAGAGACTCAAATCCTCATTTAGTCATGTACTGTCCTGCCCCCTATTCTCCTTTATACAGTGGTGCCTCGCTTAACGACGATAATCCGTTCCAGGAAAATCGCCGTTAAGCGAAAACATCGTAATGTGGGGGAAAAAACAATTGAAACCTCTTTAATGCGTTCCAATGGGGTCAAAACTCACTGTCCAGGGAAGATCCTCCATAGGGCAGCCATTTTCGCTGCCTGTCTTGCAAGGAATCCGTCCCAGAAAACATCAGGGAGCCATTTTGTTTACCCAACAGCCATTTTGAAACCGCCGATCAGCTGTTTAAAAAACGTTTTGCGAAGAATCGGTTCCCGAAGCAGGGAACCGATCATCGCAAAGCGAAAAAACCCCATTTAGACCACTGGTTCTTAATCTTTTTGAAAGAAACGCCCCCTTGAGTCATTGAGGAAGTTATCATCGCCCCCCCCTCCCCATGAAGGCGGTGGCACAGCGCCACCATGGGGAGGGGGCGATAACCTCAATGGCAGTGGCAGCTTGGCGGCTCCATCGCCTGGAGGGGGCGATAACCTCAATGGCAGTGGCGGCTCGGTGGCTCCATCGCCTCCCTATCGCCCCCCTTCTGTTCCTTCGCCCCTGTGTCACCCCTTTTCGTTCCCTCGTCCCCTTGAAAAATGAAATTGCCCCCTGAGGGGCGATATCACCCAGGTTAAGAACCACTGATTTAGACCATCGTTTTGCGATCGCAATTGTGATCACAAAAAGATCGTCGTAATGCGGTTTCGTCATAATGCGGGGCAATCATAAAGCAAGGCACCACTGTAAATGGTCACCACTCCTACCCCAACTGGTTAAGTTACAGAAATAAAGCAGGATTTGGGGTGGGGTGGGATGGTAGAAATGTGTTGTTTTTCAAGCAGTCCCACTAGCAGAGAACTTCTGGACACATTTTGCTAGCCATAGTACAGGTGTCTCTGTAGAGATGATCCAACCTGCAATTTAATGAGCTGGAGAACACTGTTCCTCCATACTCCTAAAAAGATGACAGGTTGCATACTTGGGAATCTGTTTTGCAAACAATTTGATGCTATTTTACATGCAGCCTTCCCTCCATAGCACACAGTGGAAGTACCTGGCAATGAGTATGCAGGGGTGGGACAACAATCCAGAGTTCCCAAATGCCCAAGCTCCATTAAAATATCTGCCACCTTGCATACGTTGTTTTCCCTGCCGGTGTTAATGGGCTTGGTGGCATGCCAGAGCTAATTGCAGAACCTTGTGGCTTGAGTGGGAACCGGTAGCTCTCTCTAAATCCTCTTTCGGTCAGTTGGGAGTACCTGAGATAGTTGGCCACCTGTGATCGCCCTCATCCTGCCATCTGCTCAGTTCCACCTGGACTGAAGGTTAATTGGACAGTCTTTCTTTAGGAGCCTGTGCTCTGGCTGTTGCCTGCCTGCCTGCCTTTATATCCCGTGCGCCCCTGTCTCGCCCCCTTCTCTGCTCTCTACCTAGATAGGCTCAGTCGGAGAGCTGAGTGCCTTCTGTGCTGTAGCTGAGTGCCTCTTCGACTGTTTCTCCTCTCTGCAAATAAATAAATCAGTAAAGCAGAGCATCTTTGTAGGATCGGCTCCAGATCTAATGCCTGGCAAATAGTTCATAGAAATTGCCATAATCCCTTCTGCCCATGTTTCCTCCTCCTTGTTTCTTTGTTGGTTGTTAAGCAATTCAAAACTAATGTTAGAAGGGCTTCTTGTGTGCAAAATGGGCAGGGCTGGGGCTGGCCTGTGGGTGGCGCTATAGCTAGAGCCCCAGTGCAAGGAATGGGAAGGTGGGGTGCACCGAGGAGGGGGCGTTATCTCAGGATATAGACAGCTTTTCAGCCAAGCTCCCACTGGGTCAGGAGAACAGAAGCTGTAGGGGAGAGACCAAGTATTTTTATTGCCTTTGGTCACAAAAAAAGGCGGCCAATTTCTGCATTTGAACAAACTGCGCATCTGGAATCCTAGAGTTCTAATCTGCTGATCTTCTTAGAGCACTGTGATTTCTTCCCACTCAGCCATTAGAAGCGGGCTGTGGCTTCTGTAGTGTTCCTCCTTAATACCGCTGCTCGTACAATGTGTTTATATTACTGCAAAGGCTTGTTACACAGGGCGACAGCCTCTGGGGCAACAGTGGGCAGAGAACACCCTCAAAATGTTAACCCTAGAGACCTCTGCTAACTCTCAATCCCCTTTGTTCTGGCAGGACCCACTTCCTTCCCCCCCAGTAGGATTAGCCCGGCCCTGGTGCTCTGATCCTGTTTCTGGCTCTCACAGAGTGTCATTTTTCTCTCCACAGAGTTGGTGCGGATGGTTCTGAGCGGCTGACAGACACCTCTAGCTTCTCCCATGAAAACCTCTTCCAGTTTATCCATAAAATGTTTGTGCCTTTTAAATCTGTGTATGAAACTATGTACGGTTTTCCTCTTCTCCAGCCTCTTTATTCCTTGGGGGAGCTAAGGAAGGAGTGAGGGAAATGATCCGAAGGGGGCTCCTCAGAAGGTGCAGCAAAGCAAACCTCTCTGGCTGGCTTGTCTTGCATCACTTTGTTTCCAGAAGTATTTGGCTCTTTCTCCCCCTCAATTGCTTCAATAAACAGGTCCAAATAAGTATCTTCCCAGGATTGTGTGATTTCTTTTCCTAAAGTCTGCACACACGCGCTGCAACAGTCCAAGATTATTCTTGCAACCACAGCAAGATTCTGCAATCTGTTTTGAACTTACTTGTAAGGATGCAAGCTAAAGGGTGTTAAGGGCAATGAAAATACACTGGAGGTTTTAGTAAAGTTCGGACCATTCTTCAACTTGCTTATCTGGGCATATAAAACAGGCTGTTGTACTTTGCTGCTTTCTTTTGAAGAGCAATGCCAACTGTTTCCTTTTGAATGTCAAAGATGTGTGTTTGCTGCGTACGTCTATTAAAAATTGGACCTGCTTTTTTTTTCTTGCAATGCATCACCCCATTATATATCCATTGGAATATCTGTTCTTAATGAGAAGTAATAATAGAGCTGAAAGTTGCATTTACCAGTTCACCAAAATGTTGTTAGCGAATCGGTGTCTTTCATGGCGGAGTCTTTCAAAAAGCTGGTTGCAAAAAAAGTTATACTGAGGCCAGCAGGCCAGATTTATTTTTAATCTTCTGGGCAAAGATGCAGTGTTCTAAGCGAGCAGTTGCAGGTAGCATGCTGCTCAAAGCCATTGCAAAAAAGGAGTGGTACAGGCTTTAACCCACAGCTGCCTGCCTTGTCCCTCAACCTCATCCCAAAAAAAGAGGCAAAAGCCATCCACAGGGAAGCCTTCTAGCTTCGCTTCCTGTTAAGCTAGTGTATGGATTTTACTGATCTTGTATTTCTGTCACAAAACTATTCGCCATCTCCTGCCTTCTAAAAAGCAGGACTCCATCCCCATGCCATCCTTCACCTTTTCTGAAGCAGCTTTTTGGGGGACTGTGAAAAATAACCGTTTTTTTTGTTTCCTTGAATGGTGTGTTTTTGCACTCACGGTCACCACAGAGCAACCTTGCCCTCCCCTGCTATTTATCCCACTTGGGATATAAATAGCATGAAGGAACTCTTGCCTTGACAAGAAACCACAAAAGCCATTCATGGAAAAATTACTTCTCCCTGCCCCACCTCAAAGCATTTTTTTAATGGCAAGAATAAAAGAACTCAGTTTGCAGATTGCTGGCCTCGATCAGGCGTAGCCGTCAAAACGTGGCTGCTTTGTTTTCTTCAACAGGAATGGAAAGCGAAGCACACCTCCCACTGACGTAGCCCCACCCCCCGTCGTCGTCAGCCTAAAAAGGGGAGGATGCCTGTAGGAGCACCAAATATAGGCACCTGCACAATGGCATGCTCTGAAATACAGCTGCTGAAAGGGGCGGGTGGGCGGTGGTGTCCCAGAAGGAAGGCTAGCAGAGGTCGCTGCTCCACCACAAGCCTGGCCTTGTTTTGCAGCATTAACTGTTCCGTGACCAGCTCATTTTTTTTCTTTTTTCCCCAAGCAGTTCTACTTGCCCGTTGTTGTCCCTGAAAAATTTTTTTTCTTTTTTCCCCAAGCAGTTCTACGTGCCCGTTGTCCCTGAAATGTTTTGCCTAGAAAACTGCTGTATACAAGTAGGGACCATCACAGAAGGGCCAGAGGTAATTATATTAAAAGTTCCAAGTTAGCCACAGCAAGTTCCTCATATAGCAAGAAAGGTCGTATCTGGAAATCCAACACCCTGATTAGAAAAATTAACCTTTTAACTACAACTGCCAGTATCTCCTGTTCAGCGTGGTCAGTGGAATTGCAGTTCAAAATGTAAGTTCTCCAAGCAAACAAATCTTTGGATGCTTTAAAGGGGGTTCTATTAGAAGGTTACGCTTAGGTTCCGAAGATGGGAGAAATAATTGTGTGCCCTTAAAGTTAATTCTGAGTTATGGTGACTCAAGGTAGAGAAAACCCGGAAGTGCTTTACCGTCACTGCCTCCAGGGGCATCTTGGGCCGAAACAGCTTGCCCCCAAAGCCACGTAGGCTGGCTCTTCTCCTGGGAGGCCCAGTGGGGGAATCAAACACCCAACCTCTGGCTTTGCAGCCACATACCTCAACCACTGAGCTATCCAACCAGCTACTGGGAGAAAGCGAGATCATAAATCAACAAAATATATTTGAATATACTGCCATTTCCTAAATCCTACAGAGTGCCTGCTGGTGGAACAAACGAAAGGGAGAAGATGCATTCATCACACATTTATTCCAAATGCTGCTTGGGGCAAATCCAAGCAACAGCAAATGACAGGATTAATCTTGGAGCAGGTCTGTTTTCCATACTTTTTGAAAATGAGGCTGCTGAAAAACATTGTGGCTGAACAGTCAGTCTATCCTGTTCCACTTGTGCTATGAGGCTCCATATCCAAGACTTAATGTCAAAGCACATGTTCAAGAAATCTTACCTTTTCCTGCATTTACATCATTCTCTCCCCAGCTATGTTATCACCTTTCCATTTCTAGATGGAGATGTATAGAAGCCACCATTATTTACATTCGAAGATGGGTTAATTAACACTAATGTGACTTGTGCTTTTACAATTACACCCTTTTGACCACATTAGTACTATTTCCAGACAGCTCTTTGCGTGGTTAATGACACACTGAATGATACCTATACAGTGGTGCCTCGCATAACAAGCGCACCGTTTAACGATGAATCCGCATAGTGATCCGTTTTTTGGGATCGCTAATGCGATCGCATTGTGATGTTTTAAGTGCCAAAACATCGCATTGCGATGATCGGTAAGCGTTTCGCTTACCGATCTTTGCATTGCGATGTTTTTTTAAACAGCTGATTGGCGGTTCCAAAATGGCCGCCAGGTGCCTAAAATGGCTGCCCGCAGCGTTTCCGCACCCTGCCCTCACTTACTGAGGGCGCGAAAATGGCGGCTGAATGGGGAATCTTCGCTCAACGGTGAGTTTTCCCCCTATGGGGTTTTCCATTTTGTTTTACGATGTTTCCGGATAGCGACGATTAATCTGGAACGGATTGATCTCACTATGCGGGGCACCACTGTATTTTAGTAATCCCACAGTACGACATAGCTTACGTTTTCTGGTTCTAAAGGCAAGACGGTAAGAATGGGACCACACAGGTCAAAAAGCTATAGGGCATAGACAAAAACTTCCAAGACACAACTTGCTGACCTGAAAATGTACACAAAAGTTGGAACAATGTACCTATGGAACAAAAAGATTTATGCCATGTGACTTCCTTTTGGTAGATACAGAAGCCAATGAAGATTAACTTGTTGACTTAATAGAATACAGTAATAATAATAATCTTAGAACTGCAGAGCTGGGAGGGATTTATGGATCATGAAGCTCCTGTCAAGGCGGCACAGTTGGGGAATCGAATTCCTGACCTCCGGAGACCTAAACCACTGAGCTACCCAGCAATTCAAAGAATGCTGCATGCCACTCCCTGGGAGGGGAGGAGTATTCTGTACCTGTCTGGACTTCGCCTATCATTGAATCAGTAGGATACTGAAAGAGCCTTCCTTGTGTCAATCTTTTTTGCAGTGATCACTTCTGACTAGTGGGAACTGTGAAGCCAACAAATGCTTTGACCACTTCCCATCTTCAATGATGAATCCATCAGAAGGATGATGTGAGTAAAAGATAAATGCTGCAGCCAACTATCCACCTCTGAAGGAAAATATCACTGTTCTTTTTCAACAGACAGAGAGTTTTGCTTTGTGGATTCATTAAGTCTAAGCCACACAAAATATTTATTCAGATAATACTCCATGGCTGCTTTGGTATATAGGAGTAAACAAAGATTTTCTGCTGGGGGGGGGCAGGCAGAAGGAATCTGTAAATAAAAAGTTCCTGAATAAACATCAGCAAGTGTAAAATAAAGATTTGGGTGCAACATTGTGTGACCCCAAATTAGAGCACTTGCTTCTTTCAAACCTCCCCTCCCAAGACTGCAAGTCCTCCAGAGATGGGAAAACTTTATTGTAACATTTCTTTATTGTTAAAAAAGAAAGCAAGACAGACACATATAAGGGGGGGGGAGTTAAACTCCCTTTTTAACCAGGTTTAAAATCAAAGCCCTCTCTATAAATAGCAGTGGCTGCTTGGATACAGATTCTTGTCCCCTTCCCCTACCAATTAGAAACGCCTTTAAATAAAAAGTCTTGGTTTCACTGCGTACAAAAAAAAGCATCGGGGAGATGGGGTGTGGCAGAGACACACAAGGGAATGGAGACAGAGCCCAATCCTCTTCTTCCTCGGATCACCGTTTTGAAGACTTAAAAAAAAAGGAGAAAAAAGAAAAGAAAAAACAACGCCCAAACAGAATCCATGTTTAACACGATTTGGGTTTTTCTGTTCTTCCAAAGTGGCAAGGACTCATCCAGGAGGGATTATGAAGAGCAGCTCAAAGCTTCTCACTGGGTTGGGGGGACGGGTGTGGCCGTGCTGGGGCTGGGAGCGATAGGGTCCGGTTGCAGCGAAGGTCCTTGATCTGGACGGAAAAGGAGAAAAACGAGGCAGGTTACAGATCTGAGGCAGAGAGGCTGCACTACTGACGCCGGAACGAAGGAGGCTCCGTTGCCATTCTTCTTCTTTAAATAATAAATACAGCACTGGGATGGTCGCATCAATTTTGGTCTTACTTATTGGAAGGCTGGCAAAAAGTCTGATCACTTGTACCCTTTGTGACTAGAAGACTGGAAAGCAGGATCCACTGCCCCATTCCTTGAACGGTCAGGTTCTCTCACTCTCTTCTATCCAGCAATATCTGATATTTCAGTATGTCAGGTCCCAGGCGAGGAAGACAGGCAAATTCTCATCCTCTAAAATCTCCTGTCACTCCAATGCAGAATGTAAGAATCCTTACCAAGTCTGATGTATCTCTTAACACATCCTCAGAAAAAAAAATAATCCTGAATTTGCCAATCTTAACCAGGCCCTGAAGGAAGACAAATCAACCAGTGGCAGAAGCGGTGAAAGTACAGCTCAGCGGGCCACAAGGCCTCCCGTGGCATGTCCACGTGCTGCTATCAACGTCCCCTGCAGGCCTAGCCCTAACCTTGCAATGTCCTGCTGCTATCCTACAGCCTTAGCCTGGCA